GGGGTGCTATGGGGCTGGGGGGACTTGGTGTGGGGCTGGGCTCCCTTCCATGGGGCAGAGAGTCCTGCTATGGGGCAGAGGGTTTCGCTATGGGGCAGAGACATTTTCTATGGGGCAGAAAGTTCTCTCTATGGGGCAGAACATCCCTTTTTTGTAGCATAAAGACCCTTTTTACAGGGCAGAGCCCCCCGCTATGGGGCAGAGGGACTTGCTATGGGGCAGAGGCTCTCTCTATGGGGCAGAGGCTCTCTCTATGGGGCAGAGGCTCTCTCTATGGGGCAGAGGCTCTCTCTATGGGGCAGAGGCTCTCTCTATGGGGCAGAGGCTCTCTCTATGGGGCAGAGGCTCTCTCTATGGGGCAGAGGCTCTCTCTATGGGGCAGAGGCTCTCTCTATGGGGCAGAGGCTCTCTCTATGGGGCAAAGGGTCCCGCTATGGGGCAGAGACATTTTCTATGGGGCAGAAAGTTCTCTCTATGGGGCAGAACATCCCTTTTTTGTAGCATAAAGACCCTTTTTACAGGGCAGAGCCCCCCGCTATGGGGCAGAGGGTTTTGCTATGGGGCAGAGGCTCTCTCTATGGGGCAAAGGGTCCCGCTATGGGGCAGAGACATTTTCTATGGGGCAGAAAGTTCCTTTTATGGGGCAGAAAGTTCTCTCTATGGGGCAGAACATCCCTTTTTTGTAGCATAAAGACCCTTTTTACAGGGCAGAGCCCCCCGCTATGGGGCAGAGGGTTTTGCTATGGGGCAGAGGCTCTCTCTATGGGGCAGAGGGTCTTGCTATGGGGCAGGGATGCTCTCTATGGGGCAGAGACATTTTCTATGGGGCAGAAAGTTCTCTCTATGGGGCAGAAACTTCCTTTTATGGAGCAGAACATCCCTTTTTCGTAGCGTAAAGACCCTTTTTCCGGGGCAGAGGGTCTTGCTATGGGGCAGGGGGTTTCGCTATGGGGCAGAGGCTCTCTCTATGGGGCAGAGGCTCTCTCTATGGGGCAGAGGGTCCCGCTATGGGGCAGAAAGTTCTCTCTATGGGGCAGAAACTTCCTTTTATGGAGCAAAACACCCCATTTTCATCGCGTAAAGACTGTTTTTACAGGGCAGAGAGTCCCGCTATGGGGCAGAGGGTCTCGCTATGGGGCAGCAAGTTGTCTCTATGGGGCAGGGACACTCTCTATGGGGCAGAGACCTTTTCTATAGGGCAGAAAGTTCCCTCTATGGGGCAGAAACTTCCTTTTATGGAGCAGAACATCCCTTTTTCGTAGCGTAAAGACCCTTTTTCCGGGGCAGAGGGTCTTGCTATGGGGCAGGGGGTTTCGCTATGGGGCAGAGGCTCTCTCTATGGGGCAGAGGGTCCCGCTATGGGGCAGAAAGTTCTCTCTATGGGGCAGAAACTTCCTTTTATGGAGCAAAACACCCCATTTTCATCGCGTAAAGACTGTTTTTACAGGGCAGAGAGTCCCGCTATGGGGCAGAGGGTCTCGCTATGGGGCAGCAAGTTGTCTCTATGGGGCAGGGACACTCTCTATGGGGCAGAGACCTTTTCTATAGGGCAGAAAGTTCCCTCTATGGGGCAGAAACTTCCTTTTATGGAGCAGAACATCCCTTTTTCGTAGCGTAAAGACCCTTTTTCCGGGGCAGAGGGTCTTGCTATGGGGCAGGGGGTTTCGCTATGGGGCAGAGGCTCTCTCTATGGGGCAGAGGGTCCCGCTATGGGGCAGAAAGTTCTCTCTATGGGGCAGAAACTTCCTTTTATGGAGCAAAACACCCCATTTTCATCGCGTAAAGACTGTTTTTACAGGGCAGAGAGTCCCGCTATGGGGCAGAGGGTCTCGCTATGGGGCAGCAAGTTGTCTCTATGGGGCAGGGACACTCTCTATGGGGCAGAGACCTTTTCTATAGGGCAGAAAGTTCCCTCTATGGGGCAGAAACTTCCTTTTATGGAGCAGAACATCCCTTTTTCGTAGCGTAAAGACCCTTTTTCCGGGGCAGAGGGTCTTGCTATGGGGCAGGGGGTTTCGCTATGGGGCAGAGGCTCTCTCTATGGGGCAGAGGGTCCCGCTATGGGGCAGAAAGTTCTCTCTATGGGGCAGAAACTTCCTTTTATGGAGCAAAACACCCCATTTTCATCGCGTAAAGACTGTTTTTACAGGGCAGAGAGTCCCGCTATGGGGCAGAGGGTCTCGCTATGGGGCAGCAAGTTGTCTCTATGGGGCAGGGACACTCTCTATGGGGCAGAGACCTTTTCTATAGGGCAGAAAGTTCCCTCTATGGGGCAGAAACTTCCTTTTATGGAGCAGAACATCCCTTTTTCGTAGCGTAAAGACCCTTTTTCCGGGGCAGAGCCCCCCGCTATGGGGCAGGGTGTCTCGCTATGGGGCAGGGTGTCTCGCTATGGGGCAGCAAGTTGTCTCTATGGGGCAGGGACACTCTCTATGGGGCAGAAACTTCCTTTTATGGAGCAGAACATCCCTTTTTCGTAGCGTAAAGACCCTTTTTCCGGGGCAGAGCCCCCCGCTATGGGGCAGGGTGTCTCGCTATGGGGCAGGGTGTCCCGCCGTGGGTCTCACCCTATAGCGGGGCTCCCCGGCGGCCCTCCCCAGCTCGTCCAGCCCCATAGAGCAGAAGATCTCGCTGTAGGGGTTGCGCTGCACCTTGGCCGGGAGCCCCTCGGGGCTGAGGGCGAAGGCCACGCGGGGGGATTCGGGGCGCAGGCGGGCGCAGCGCAGCAGGAACTCCCCCCCTGTGGGGCCCAGACCCACAAGTGTGGGGCGGGGAAGGGCTGTCAGCCTCACTTATGGGGCGCCCCATAGCTCTCCTCCCCGCCCCACGGCGCTCACCGGCGCGCGCCGCCTCCAGCAGCTCGGGGCGGCGGAAGCGGGGGACGGTGCGGTAGAGACGGGCGTAGACCCACACCTGTGGGGCAGGGAGAGGGGGATGTGTGGGGCAGGGAGAGGGGGATGTGTGGGGCTGAGGCACGTGTCCCTGCCCCACAGGTCCCGCTCCCTGCCCCACGGCGCTCACCTGCCGGCCCTGCAGCCACACGAACTTGGTCTCGTCGTAGACGGAGCCCTCGCGGGTCAGGCAGGAGAAGAAACCGCTGGGGATGGGGGGCGGGTGTGGGGCAGGTGTGGGGCAGAGGGGGGGTCAGGTGTGGGG